AATTCCCCCAAACTAAACTAAATTCTCACACAATGAATTCTCCAAAACTAAAAATCTCCCAAATCTAAACTCGATACAAAAAAAGTCTCAACACTTCCCCCCCCCCCCCCCACACCCCACATGGAACTAAACGCTGACACAGTATATTAGTGTTCGTCCCGAGAGTGCACCAAGGTGTAACACAGTTCACAGCAGTTTGCTCGTCTTTTGTTTGAGTAAAAATATCTCGGGGGTGGAACTTTTTTGTTAAGGGAGAGAACAAACATTGAGTTCTTTTAATGGGAGATAATTATAAAATTAAACGATAAAAAGAAGAAAACAAGTTGTAATACATTTCAAAACAAAAACAAGTAAACAAACATCAGTATTATTTATAGAAAAATAAATTTCAAAAATGTTATTAAATTATTAGGTGATTAATTACAAAATTTTAATTACAACTCCTTGTAATTGTGAGTTATTAATCTAATAAATAGCAGTCACTAGTATCAACCAGCTGTAACATTAATATCGAGACGATTATTAGGATTTGTTGGGATTGCATTTCGTACGTCGACTATTATTTTTTTCATAATTAGCCAGATTTTTTTTATACTACTTACCCTAATTTCAACTATTTTTTAATTATGATTTAAACTATTGTATTGTTTGATGTGTATAGCTGACTTTTTTGCTGAGGCCTACAGGTATTAAAAATGGTATTACACAAAACCAACCACCAGAACATCCCTGGTCACCTCTTGCGCAATATCATTAGCCCACACCAGATCCTGCTGCTCAACTATGGACGAGGGGATACCTGGTACTTCTTGTCCAACGAGTTTGATGCAGCGGATCTGGACGGCACCACAAAACACACGGCCCATACACTTTGAAATTCGACAGATACCACAAGGACAAAATCATCGGAACCCTTAGATGGGTTTCGCCAGCCCTGAGCAACGAAACACTGATTAAGGCACTGCAAACAGTCAGCAAATCTACACCTACAATAACCACAATCCCGCACACAAACAATCGCAGATTCACCATCCAGAACGACAATCCACAACATCCTACACTACATCCAAATTACATACAAAGACACAACACGCAATATCCTCATCGCACTACCAGGAAGACGCCAAGCCTGTCAGGTGTGCGGCTCGGACAGACACTGGACCAACCACTGTCAATCATCAACACCAGAGTCAACACCCAATGTTCACCTGTCAACAATACAGGAACCAACTCAACAACCATCCTCACAGACAATTTTAACAGAACCACCTAGAGCACCACCCACACCGCAGCAAACATTGGTAACCCCTAACCTGTCGAACCAAAAAGCGATCCCAAGTACGGCTTACCCGAAGTCACCAACTACATCAACAAAAATCCAAAACTCTGGAGAAACACAAAGCCCAGATTCAGAAATAGATAACACCACGTCAATAAAAAGAAAAAATGAAATCAACCCCACAGAACAAGGAAAATTAACAAAAAAACTCGCGAATCAAATCTTCGATCGCCTGACAAACACCTTAGAAACCCAGCCGCAACAAGAAACTACCACTGAACCAATTCAAATTCCCAAAACTTTAACTCCTGGAAAAGACAAGAGCTGCGGTTATTGCTTTCACAGTTTCAGTACTGCCAGCGAGTGTAAAACACATACACAAACTTCCCATCCTGATACGAGTACATGCCCGCATTGCAACAATCTGATCAAAAGCAGAGGAGCAATAAAGCACCACGTACTAAAACACCCAGACACCGCTGTCTTCCAGTGTGGATACTGCCTAACAAGTCTATACACCAAATACGACATAGAAAAACACCTCAACGACCAGCACCCCGACAACGACCCCTGCCACAATCAAATATTCTACATCCTCAACCCAGACAGATCCATTTCTTACATATATGCAGACGACAGAACATAAACAGCGAGAAGGACAACTCTTCAAATATGACACGCTGTACTCACCACTTAAACAAGTTTTGTCAATCCCTCCTCATCCGGATTCCAACACTATCATTTAACTTTAACCTCTTTTACTGATTATCCCTTAAAATTTTGTATAACAACATATATAAAACAAATATGATAACCATGTATATACTTGTTATTAATACGCTCATCCGGACAAAATGGTTTCATTAGATGATAAAATTTATTAAAAAAGGTGTATACATTTGTACATTCATCTTGATATGTTTTTTTTTAAGAACATTTAGAAAAATGTAAAATATGCTGATGTTGTTGCAAAAAAAAAAAAAAAAAAAAAAAAAAAAAAAAAACTATTTACCCAAACGCTTTTCGGCCTTTTGGCTAAGATCAAAGTGTAGTATTTGTTATGGATCTACACGGATCTTAGCCATTTGGTTGGTCAGCCCTTTTTAGGGCTGGCTACCGGGGTCGAGAGGCGGTCAAATCTACTACTCTAACTCACGCAAATCTCGCCAACGACCGCTGTGGGGTTGCTCCCACACATCCCTCGAACGAAGATTTCTTAGCGATGCTTCATATGGACTGCAAAACTGCTATCTTTTAATTCTAATTCAATCTGATAACAAAATACTTTATGTTATTTTTTTGTCAATTGTTTACCATCGGTCAAAGCTGTCGCTCAATAGACATAGCTATTTATAGAGCAGAATGGACATGACGTATATTTTGCTGTAAAGCCCGGGTTTCGATACCGGGATTTTCAGGGCGTTAAGCGTGCGTTCAGCCGCTAGACCACGCCATTCCAAGAGTAAATATGCAGAATTAAGAATACAAGCTGCCAACGACTTATGAAAGTAACATTATTCAATCTTCTTGGTATTTATATTACAGCTGGTTGATACTTGTGTCAGCTAATTATTGGATTAAATATTAACATTTACTAGGAGTTGTAATTAATATTATGTTCATAATCACCAAATGTTTTAGATACTTTTCTTTTATCTTAATTTTCTATAATTAATGATAACGTTGGTTTACTTGCTTTTTTTTAATTATATATTAATACTATTTCTTTCCATTTTGTTATTTAATTTTATAGTTACCTCCCTTTAGAAATATATTTTGTTTGTTATTTCCCCTGACAAAAAAGTTCTACACGCGAGATATTATGACAGAAACAGATGACGAGAGCAAACCGCTGTGAACTGTGTGACACCTTGGGTGTGATGGTTTTGAGGTGTAGGTTCCTAAAGGTGTCTGTTGTGTCTGTTGGAGCGTATTTCCTACACCAGGGGTCTCCAATCTACGGCCCGCGAGGTGCTCTCATACGGCCCGCGGCAATCTTTTAGTTCACTGAATAAATGTTTGTTAGCGGTGGCTGAGGAACTTTGACCAGAAAATTTAAAACAATCTGAAAATGTTGCTTTGGGTGCAAATATCATTGCTCGCCGTGTTGAAGGCATTTTTGAAAACATCGTGACTCAAATAGCGAAAAATGCAAGCAAGTTTCGCCATTTTTCAATTGCAATGGATGAGTCGCTGGACAGCTGTTCCACCTCTCAAACTTCTTGTGTTCATTTGCGGTGTGGATGAAGACATGAACATAACACAAGAGCTGGCTTACCTATATAGAATGTATGGCACTGTTACCATAGATAGTTCAGAGACATGCTGAAAGATACAATCACAGAATCGCAAAATTTACCATATTTCACAGCAGTAAGATGGCTAATTTGCGAGAAAGTCCTGAGCAGAGTATCTAAGTTTAGAAAGGAAATAGGTGACTTCCTGGAAAGTAAAGGCAAGCCTCAGCTATAAATGTCTGATGAAGAAAAGGGTATAGAAATTGGCCTCTGCTGCAAACATAACTAGTCATTAAATTTTCTGGACCTAAAACTATAAGAGAGGTAAACTTACTTGCAGCTAGAGGTCATTTGATTGCAAGCAAATGACCTCCTTAGAGACTAGTTCACAGAAGAGAGGGTGGGTATTTTATACGTTTTTGACTAAGGAAGACTTTCCTAAAACTTTTGCCTCAAAGTACCTTTCAAACTTTAGAACAACATACCTGAGTGAAGTACCATTTTCAATAATGAAATACGAGAATAAAAATTTGAGAGCAAACTTGTACCTCGAATATGTTGTTGGCCCCCGACATTGTTTCTTTCAGACTTTTTTATCCGGGGAGGGGGGGGGGCTCTTGAAATGTATCCGAACTCAAGATTGTTGTGTTAGCCGTTGTATGCCATACAGTCCGACCACGCCGCCCCATTTAAAGTGTTGGTAACAGCCTAGTAACTTCATTCAAAATATTCATGGGGGTTGGGGGGGGGGGGGGGCACTAGTTGGTATCTTAATCAACCGAAAGCTTTTTTTTTCTTTTTCTAAATCTGTTTGTACATTTTGTGGCAACGAATGCCTATGCTTGAAGTGTCCACAGATGGGCTATGCATTTGGGGCAAATAAATATTAGTGGCCTTTCTAAAAAAGCGGCCAATGTTGGCCTTTCCATAAAAGTGGCCAATGTTGGCCTTTCCATAAAAGTGGCCCAGTTGGCTTAAGTTGGCCTCTGTGCACGTAACACCGCCTCTTATTGAAATCACGAATACGTGAAAAGACAACTGAATACAAAGTGGTACAAAGATAGAGTGTTCAAATACCTAGTGCGACGTGTAGTTATCGTACCAACTGCCTCAAAATTGGACCAGTAAAGTTATTTTAGAAAGCTTTAAATGAGAACACTATGATAGCAATCTTAGAATTAAATCAACTTTTTCGTGTTATTAAAAATGTATAACATTTCACAAAACTCATATGACAAGATCACAGAGCTCAAAATTCCTAATAAAACATTTTATATATTTTTTTTTAAATTACGAGAGAAAATATTTTAAATAATATATCACATTCAAAATTCTGTAAGCCATATACATGATATATATACATATTGAAATAAAACGAATGTAATTTATCTAATCATATACAAGTTATATATATAAATAACTTTATAGAATAAATAGGTTTTCCATTATCGAACTTTGTTTGTAAACAATGTCACGTGGTCATACTAAAGTCGCGTGCTGGACTCTCCGTTAGCTTGTCTGTCTGACGTGGCACCAGTGTCTGTCTTCTCGGTAGAGTCTGTCTGGAACCGCTTGCAGAAGAAGACTTTCTGCATGGCGCGATCATAGGGTTCTAAAGACAGTAGCGGCTGGGGTAGGAACATCCAGTCTTGGAGCTTTCTGGGCAGGCTCTGGGGACGTTTAGCCTGCAGGCATTTGATGACGCCGATGATGATGAAGAGAAGGCAGACGGGCCCGAGGAAGCCGAGGAGGACGTACCAGCCCGGGATGGAGAGAGCGAAGACTAGGGCGGGGAAGAGGAAGAACATGAGGAGGATGTAGACGATGGCGAACCAGCGGTACTCGGCCGTGCAGTTGCCTAGAAATTTGGCAAGCGGGATGGGGAAGCGGAGGTAGGGAATAAGGTAGAACAGGAGGATGCCGGTGATGTTGAAGAAGAGGTGGCAGAAGGCTGCTTGTAACGCGTTTCTGAGGCCGTCCGTGTTGGCTAAGGCTGAGAGAATCGCCGTGGTCGTGGTGCCGATGTTTGACCCCAGGGTCAAAGGGTACATCCGGTCGAGTTCGATGACCCCGATGCCGACGAGCGGGGTGAGGGTGGAGGTGAAGATGGAGGAGCTCTGGACGATGATGGTCAACCCGGCGCCGATGATGATGGTGAGGTATCCGGTGAGGTAGCCCAGCGGTCCGGGAAAGTCCGCGTTGATGAATTTTTTGATGATGAGAGCGATGGGGCCTTGGAGAAGGGAGAGCAGCAGTTTGACAATGGCGACAAGACACAGGCAGAGAATTGTAAGGGAGATAACCAGCATGATTGCTCCGATAGCTTTGTCGTTTAATGTAGAGTACATTCCCTTGAATAAAAACTCACCTAATTGTAAAACAAAACCAATCGTAAATTACAAACATCAGAATTGCATTAAAGTGTTTAATTATAGTTAACTGTGTAAAAAATATTTTAATTATATATTTTATATTCATATAAAGAAAACCGGGATTTTCGTGAAATTTAGAAAGTTATAAGTAAGTATAAAAATAATGAGTTAATTTCTGTTTAATGCTTTGTTTCTATTTCCTAACCACGGTGCTAAAGCTACTTTTTAATGTTAATTTCATATAGATAAAGACCCAACATTAAGATAACCCTAGCACAGGGGTCGGCAACCTGCGGCTCTTTTAATATCAAGATGCGGCTCTCCAGCTCCTTGCATAAATACTAATAATCTTAATAAAAAAATAAAATATTTGAAATAAAAAAATGTTAATGGCTCTTTAAAACCAGGGAAATTTTGAAAATCGTAACTTTTGGCTCTTCCGCTTCAAAAGATTGCCGACCCCTGCCCTAGCACACTGTGGTTCTAATGACATCCTTAATTGTTCATTTCATAAATATAAATACTTAACTCCAGCATGACACAAACTCAAAATTGAAATTATTAAAACTAGTTAAATTTGCTATGAAATTCATTTCAGGATAATACTATGTTGTTTTTTATAATTCTTTCTACATTGATTTTCTGGAAGAATGAAATGGGGGGGGGGGGGATTAAACCATCCAGTCAGTTGGTGAATGATCTCATCGATTATATTGATTTGTACCTGTTTGTTCGAATTGAAACGTTCAGAGTAACAGTGGTTGTTTCAGACCTTTTTCTCGAGAGGGGGGTGGCCTATAAAGATCCGGAGACGGGAGGGGGGACTATTGTCATAAACAAGTATATATTCAGAATATTCTCCATTTAAAAAATTCTATTTTGTCTGAGGGGTTGGGGCTAAGTGTGGGTTCTTGGACTTCTCCACCCACTTGACACAGGAAATGCCTGAAAGAAACTCTGCCCTTATGTCGCTGAATCTAACTCCGCCCATGCCTCGCTGAGCCTTTCCACCTCCCTCATGCGACACTGAGGCTGGCGGGCAGTGCTCTCTCTAGTGGGTAAAAGGTGGCCTGCAACGTGTATTTTGTGTGCGCAGCGTTCTCAAAGTCTTACAATACAACATGACTGCTCGTTCAAAAACTACTGCGTGGCTGATTTTTAAAAATCTACTGCGTGGCTGATCTTAAAAAATCTACTGCGTGGTTGATTAAAAAAAAAAATAGGGCGTGGCTGATTTTAAAAAACTACTGCGTGGATGATGTTAAAAAAAACTACCGCGTGGCTTGCTTTTAAAAAACTACTGCGTGGCTGATTAAAATGAACTACTGCGTTGCTGATCTTTAAAAAATCTACTGCGTGGTTGATTAAAAAAAAATTACAGAGTGGCTGATCTTAAAAAAAACTACTGCGTGGCTGCTTTTAAAAAACTACTGCGTGGCTGATCTTAAAAAAAAATACTGCGTTGCTGATTTCTAAAAAACTACTGCGTGGATGATTTTAAAAAAAAACAAACTACTGCGTGGCTGATTTAAAAAAATAAACAAATGCGTAGTTACGTAACCGTGCATCATAAAGACGCCATAGCAGTCGGGCCTTGCTCCCAGTACTCACATTCCTTGAAGCACGTCATCTTCTCCACGTCCCTCGTGTACAGCGTGCACGAGAAGTCCTCACCCACAAGCTCGTCCATGACGCTGACGTTGCTCACGGCGCAGCTGGAGAGGGAGAAGTTGTGGGAGCTGGAGCTGAAACAGCTGCTGACGCCGGAGCAGTCCAGGGTCTGGTTGAGGTCTGGTGGATATGGTGGAGTGGATAGGTGGATATAGATACGTGGTTACGGACAGTCAATATGATGGATTGGATAGGTCTAGGAATATATAGGCGGGTGGGTATGGATGAGTGGATATGTGGATGTAGATACGTAAATATGGATAGTAAATATAGAAGAGTGAATGGGTCTGTGAATAAATAGGTGGGTGGGTATGGATGTGTGGATAGGTGGATATAGAGATGTGGATATGGACAGTCATTATGGATTAGTGGATAGGCCTTAGATGTTATGAGTTTGTGGGTATGGATAAGTAGATGGAAATAAATGAATATGGACCTTGACGAGGATGGTAACCTACCCTTAACCTAACTCAGATAACCTTGACCCCGAGGCTTACTTGTATTTAACCTACCTCAGACGGCCTTGACCGCGAGGTTTACCCACTCTACATCAGGCGATTTTGACCCCGAGGCTTACCTATCTTTAACCTACCTCAGACGGCCTTGACCATGAGGAATACCCACCAGACGACCTTGACCCCTAGACTTACTCAACCTACCTCAGATGACCTTGACTCAGATACTTATCCACCCTACATCAGACAACCTTGAACCCGAGGCTTACTTATCTTTAACATATATCAGACGACCTTGACCCCTAGACTCACCTATCCTCTTCTTACAACAGTCGACCTCTGACCTCGTGCCCTGGAAAGCGTCACAGTCGACCTGTGTGACGAGCCTCTGGATGCTCCATGTCTTGTTACTCCAGGGCGTGCTCGTGCAGTCCTCGTGCCATGTCTGGTTCCGGCCCACGCATGCGCTAAGCTGCGGACGGAAGTGTAAACTTTTGTCACGTGAGCTGTTTACAATATCTGTACCTTACGGTTCAAGGGGCAAGAGAAGCAGAGTTCGCCAGTTTCTGTGTCTCCGGCATACGAAGATGTAGTGTGCAGGGGCGGCACTGTAGTTCCGCCAGACCCCGCAATGCGGGGGGGGGGGGGGGGGGGGAGAGAATGGGGGCCCAAAAATCCTGGCTAAATTATTTTTAAAAAATTTTTTTAAATAAAAAAAATTTGGTGGAGGTCGAGTTATCTTTCTTCTACAGTTACAAACAAACACGATAGTCGGCAAACGTCTTTGAGAAAAATGCACAGACTATAGCTCGAGAGACAGCCAGACATATAGACAACTTCAAAGACGTAGCCTACCGTTCTTTTTAATGGCGTCGATTAGGAGAACAAAAAAGCATTGTTATATTGTTTACATTATTAAAATACATATCTATGATTGTGTGTTTAAACTACTGGCCTAAATTCTACAAAAAATATAATTATTTAATTCGATCTCATACATTTATAATTGCGTTCATTTTTACTTTAACAACTGTATCCATAAACTTGTAAAAGTTTAAGTTATCTCCCTTCAGCGAAGCATCTGAAATTTGACTGTGCCGGCACGCTTTGAAATCGGGCTGGGGAAATATTGCGGCGACTATCCTGGTCTTCTAGACCAGGGGTCTCCAAACTACGGCCCGCGGGCCGGATGCGGCCCGCGAGGTCCTCTCATCCGGCCCGCGGAGATATTTTTGTCCACGAAAAAAACATTTGTCGATGATGGCTGAGGAACTTTGTCCAGAAAAATCAAAGACATGTCTGGACATGTCTGGAACTAACTGGCCCCCGAACTGAAAATTGATAGTTAATGCGGCCCTCGGACTGAAAAGTTTGGAGACCCCTGTTCTAGACGACCGGAAAAAGTCAGCGATATTGATGTAGATGTTTATCGGCGCTTTCTTGTCCCCTTCCAATGAACCTTCCCAACTCTCCCCCCCCCCTCACCCCTACCCCTCACCTCTACCCCTCACCACACCCTTACTCTTACAATAAGATGTAATGCATAGATTAACGAACCGTCTATGAACTACTGAACTGTAAACTGACCACTTCTGCACATTTTGATAAAGACACTAGTCAGTAGTTGTTCATTTGCCTGATGAACAGGGGCGGAACTACAGTCCCGCCAGACCCCCGCAACCCGCAATGCGCGGGGGGGGGGGGGGGTGCAGGCCGTTTAGGGGCCCACGGCTGACCAAAATTAATATTTTTTTAAATTTTGAATTTAATTTTCGTGCATTTTTGCCTTAATATTTGGTTTGTAAAAGAAAAACACTGTAGCTGCGGTACCACGCTCTTCCGCAAAAGATAAAATCCATTACACAAACTACAGTGTAAAATTTTGAAGGACTTCTTTGACTCGTCAAGGCCGAGTTCTATTTCCCTACAATCAAACACACGCTGTCGCCGGCAAAATTCTTTTTAATAAACAACAAAGTCCATAGAACGAGAAGCCGCTACATATAAAGTGGGCTTTCATAATGCGCGGTTCTTCTTTGCGGCATTGGTAAGGGACCCGAAATCCATTTTTCAATGTTAATATGTGTTTGTGATAGTGGTTGAATTTGTATCCTGTACTATCTTGCATCCTACAAATAATTTTAAAAAAAATATAATACTAGAAACTTCAGTTTTAAATACGTTTACTTGTTTTTACTTTTACAAGAAATATCATAGTAAACTTGTAAAGCCTATACTTGGAATAATCTCCCCTGAGTGAGTTTTACAATGGATGTATTATGTAATCCATATATATATATCCATTGTATGTACAATGGATTTATATATATATATATATATATATATATATATATATATATATATATATATATATATATGCATACATATATATATATATATATATATATATATATATATATATATATATATATATATATATATACATATATATATATATACATATATATATATATACATATATATATATATATATATATATATATATATATATATATATATATATATATATATATATATATATATATATATATATATATATATATATATATATATATATATATATATATATATATATATATATATATATATATATATATATATATATATATATATATATATAGGGGCCCCAAAAAAAATTCTGCGGGGGGGGGGCTTTTTTTCTAGTTCCGCCACTGATAGTGTGGTCAGCACCTGGCCGATTTATTTCCCTAAAGTGAGTTGGGTATGACACCTGAACTGGGTGGGTTCCAAGAATTTCTATTTTCTTGAACCCGGATTCGAACAAAGGCGGCTGGACATAGTGTTAAAGCAGATGAAATCTACTTCATCTCTCCCATGCCTTTGGGCACGAACAGGAAAAGACGAACATGATGTTGATGTTGTTGTTGATGATGATGATGATGATGTTTATTATTATGATGATGATGATGATGATGATGATGATGACAATGACGATGATGAATAACCTTCTACTGATCGTACCTCCTGACAGAAGCCAGTCTTCTGCGCATGCGTGTAGTTGACCGCAGTCTTGAACACCTTCGACTTTTTGGTCTCACAGCACTGTGCAGGTGTCTTCTTGTCACAGCACACCTTCATGATGGCGCGGTCGTAGTCAAAGTCAGGATCCGTGCCGTCTGCAATCTTGTTGATGGCGTTCTTGTCGATCTAAAAGTGGGGTGGAGCGCATTAGCACTGTTAAATTACGGAACTTATAACACATGATAACACTTTACAGACTATTGCTAACTCGTCCCCGTAGCGCAGGGGATAGCGCGCTGGACTTCTAATCCAGAGGTCGCGGGTTCGAATCCCGCCGGGGATGATTTTCTTTTTGTTGTTGTGAAGGGGGCGAGTTAATTTGCCTCCACACGTTTAAATGTTAATGAAAGAATTATATGAGTATTCTGTGCAATAATTTATCCAATGACGGGGGCAGTATATTTAATTTGTTTCAACTAACCCTAACCCTCTTAAAATAAAAGAAAATTTCTTCATCGTAATGATTCGAAATTGCTACTGTCATTGTGAGGGCTGGGCAAGGGAGCATCTTCAGTTCATCGACAGGGATCTACAGTATATCGTCAGTACATATTTAATATATCTTCAGTGCATCTACGGCACATGTAAACCACACCTACAGCACACATACTTTACACGTACAGCACACCTACAGAAATATTGAGTACATCTACAGTAAACCTACAGTACACATACAGTACACCTACCGTACACCTACAGTACACCTACCGTACACCTACAGTACACCTACAGTACACCTACAGTAAATATTGAGTACATCTACAGTAAACCTACAGTACACCTACCGTACACCTACAGTACACCTACAGTACACCTACAGTACACCTACAGTACACCTACCGTACACCTACAGCACACCTACAGTACACCTACAGTACACCTACCGTACACCTACAGTACACCTACAGTACACCTACAGTACACCTACCGTACACCTACAGAACACCTACAGTACACCTACAGTACACCTACAGTACACCTACAGTACACCTACCGTACACCTACAGTACACCTACAGTACACCTACCGTACACCTCCACTCCAGTGTACCTTCGGTGCAACTAAAGTGATCAACAGTACATATATAATACATTCTCACTCTAAAGTGCATCTTCAGTGCATCAACAGTGCACTACCTGGATAATCAGTTTGGTGAAGGGCTCTGTTATGACCTTGAGAATGTCCTTGTCGGCACCTTTGTCTGCGACCAGGGGCAGCGAGTCCACGATGGCATTGATCAGGTGATACAGGTAACCTGTGGGTCAGGTGATACAGGTAACCTGTGGGTCAGGTGATACAGGTAACCTGTGGGTCAGGTGATACAGGTAACCTGTGGGTCAGGTGATACAGGTAACCTGTGGGTTAGGTGATACAGGTAACCTGTGGGTCAGGTGATACAGGTAACCTGTGGGTCAGGTGATACAGGTAACCTGTGGGTCAGGTGATACAGGTAACCTGTGGGTCAGGTGATACAGGTAACCTGTGGGTCAGGTGATACAGGTAACCTGTGGGTCAGGTGATACAGGTAACCTGTGGGTTAGGTGATACAGGTAACCTGTGGGTCAGGTGATACAGGTAACCGGTGGGTCAGGTGATACAGGTAACCTGTGGGTCAGGTGATACAGGTAACCTGTGGGTCAGGTGATACAGGTAACCTGTGGGTCAGGTGATACAGGTAACCTGTGGATCAGGTGATACGGGTAACCTGTGGGTCAGGTGATACAGGTAACCTGTGGGTCAGGTGATACAGGTAACCTGTGGGTCAGGTGATACGGGTAACCTGTGGGTCAGGTGATACAGGTAACCTGTGGGTCAGGTGATACAGGTAACCTGTGGGTCAGGTGATACAGGTAACCTGTGGGTCAGGTGATACAGGTAACCTGTGGGTCAGGTGATACAGGTAACCTGTGGGTCAGGTGATACAGGTAACCTGTGGGTCAGGTGATACAGGTAACCTGTGGGTCAGGTGATACAGGTAACCTGTGGATCAGGTGATACGGGTAACCTGTGGGTCAGGTGATACAGGTAACCTGTGGGTCAGGTGATACAGGTAACCTGTGGGTCAGGTGATACGGGTAACCTGTGGGTCAGGTGATACAGGTAACCTGTGGGTCAGGTGATACAGGTAACCTGTGGGTCAGGTGATACAGGTAACCTGTGGGTCAGGTGATACAGGTAACCTGTGGGTCAGGTGATACAGGTAACCTGTGGGTCAGGTGATACAGGTAACCTGTGGGTCAGGTGATACAGGTAACCTGTGGGTCAGGTGATACAGGTAACCTGTGGGTCAGGTGATACAGGTAACCTGTGGGTCAGGTGATACAGGTAACCTGTGGGTCAGGTGATACAGGTAACCTGTGGATCAGGTGATACGGGTAACCTGTGGGTCAGGTGATACAGGTAACCTGTGGGTCAGGTGATACAGGTAACCTGTGGGTCAGGTGATACGGGTAACCTGTGGGTCAGGTGATACAGGTAACCTGTGGGTCAGGTGATACAGGTAACCTGTGGGTCAGGTGATACGGGTAACCTGTGGGTCAGGTGATACAGGTAACCTGTGGGTCAGGTGATACAGGTAACCTGTGGGTCAGGTGATACAGGTAACCTGTGGGTCAGGTGATACAGGTAACCTGTGGGTCAGGTGATACAGGTAAGCTGTGGGTCAGGTGATACAGGTAACCTGTGGGTCAGGTGATACAGGTAACCTGTGGACCAGTTTTAGAATTTGGTCTCACAATTGGTAGCAGTAAAAATATGCTTTAATCATTTCATACCCGAAAATGTCCATCTTTAATTCAAGTTATCAGGAAACAGTCTTTGTTTTTTGTTTAAAGTGAAAAAATGAAATTTAAGAAAAATTAATTAGAGCATAGATAAATGTTTTTTTTTTAAATAAAATAAAAAAAATGCTTCATAAAAAAGTAAACCCGGAAATATTGGTTTAATGTGGGATTATAATTTTTTGACAGCTTTAAAATCTAACAGGAGAGTAATAAAATGAAAGAATGAATAATATAGGGAAGTAATTTGTTTTACTTTAAAAAAATAATATAATATATAGTTCAATTCTGTTTTTTTTTCTGTGTTTTTTTTTTCTTTTACATAATTGAATTAATACATACGAGCCGACCCGCGGCGTATCATACGCCGTTATTTAGTTGTTTTATTTTCTACTTTTCAGTAATTCATAATTTGTGAATTCGACAGTACCAATCCTGCCACTGAAAATATTTGCTTTAAAACACTAAAACCCTCCTTTCCCCCAACCCCTACCCCCCCCCCCTCCCCCACCCCCGTGAAAGCAGCCTCCATTTAGTTACCTCCCCTAAGTATAAAATAGTTTTAAACTAAATTATCTGCCCCTAATAGCCGTCACTAAACCCGGCTCTACGATGTAAACATTTAGCGTGAACTACAGCTCACCAAACCATGTGGGTGTGGGGGTGGATGCGATATGCCTAGAGAGTAAAAGAGGGGACTGCAAGGCGCGCTTGCAGCTTGTTTTCTAAGATCTCCCAGAAGAGAATTATATATATAGATATATATACAAAATAAATAGATAGTTGTAAAGACCATTTTTAACAGGTCCCTTTTTTAGGAGAGGTACATTTGCAGGTGGGGGGAGGGGTGTTTGTATTTATGAGAGTCAGAGAAAATATGACTAAATTTTTTCCTCTTGGTCGCTGCTTTTCTCTTCCTTGTCGTAAGTGATTCTTATTTTCTTCTCTGGTGTGATGCTGAATAAAACTGAGTAGTAATTGGTACCATCCCCCGTTTCAGAGTGTATTTCCTCGCAGTGACTGTCCCATGCATCTTCTGAAAGGAAACATGTTTCACAGATGGTGCATTGGAAAGTTTCAGTCTCTGTGTGTGCTTCTGCGTGGTGTGTGATTGCTTGTTCGCGTGTAATCTGTATATTGCATAATCCGCAATAATCCGGGTGTTGTTTGTAATGTTTAACATACACTTAGATCTGTCAGTGTCGGGTTTGGGGATTAGGGTGATATATGCTCTATTAAAATCAGTCGCGCTAAAGCCCCTGTCATGTATGTCTTTAAAGGCTGCATTTAAAAGAGGTAGTAGGTCATTTTTAAAAGCTTGGTAAAATTCATTTGTTAGTCCTTTAGGTCCGGGGCTTTTATTTGGTTTTAAAGTGTCAATAGTTTTCCTTAACTCGTCCTCCGTTATATATATATATATATATATATATATATATATATATATATATATATATATATATATATATATATATGTGTATAATCGATTAAACATTTTTTCAACATAATGTCATGTGTGTAAGTGCTTTAGTGTGTTTTTTTTTTATGTCTCAGATTTGTAATTTTTCTCAGCGAGCCTTTACGTTGTCCCTAAGGCCTCCGCTGTTCTATTACTTTGTTCATCATACGACACATGAGGGCTGGTGTAGGTTTACATTTTCAACTATCCTATTACCACTCATACTTAATATACATATAAATATACATAAATATATACATAGTTTTACGGGTATGTTCTGAAAGAGAAAGAGGTTTATTTTTTTTTGGGGGGGGGGGGGGGGTGTGGGGCGATAATCAAACCCGCAAAAGAGGGGGGGGGGGGTTATGGGGCGGTTTAATCCAGCAAACAAGGGTATAACTTTTTCAATTATCCTATTATTACTCAAACTTAATACACATATAAATATACATAAGTATATACATCGTGTTACGGGTACAACCTGAAAGAGATGGTGACTTATTTTTAGGGGGGGGGGAGTTTAGGTCGGTCTAATCACACAAGAAGGGGGGGGGGGAGTTTACAACAGAATGTCTCTGTGGAAAATTATTTGGGTTTCGGTGGCGTAAAGGGTTTCCTGAAATAGAACATGTAATTTTAGCGGGGTAGGGCATGAAGTGTTATATACAGAAAAGAAGCATCATTCGCTCTGTTCATTTAAACCTAATACCTACAACAGTCCTCAATTTTTTTTTTTTTAATTCAAAAAAACAATTATACAATACACAAAGTTAACTAAAGGGGAGCAACACATTATTCCCAGTATTATCCACAGAAGGATTTAATTCTAAAATGATAACAAAAACAAACCCTGAAAATAAGTAGGCCTACATTTCTTTAGGAAAAAAGCAAGGAACTTCCTTTAACTTTCAACCTATATTATGTAGAAAATCCTATTGCAAAAAAAAAAAAAAAAACACAATATCAAACTCTAATAAGATAACTAAAGGGGAACAACACAATATTTCCAGTGTTATCAACTGAAAGATTCAATTCTTAAATTGATAACCAAATCTTAATTTTATGTACATTTCTTTAGTAAGAGACAATATAGAAGCTTCACGCAAATAGTGAAGTTTTAATAGATGGAATAACACTCCTGGAGCGATGCATGAAGAATTTTGTCGGTATTAATATTAAAAGTGGTTGATATAAGTAATTTCTTATTATTAGATTAACAACTAACAATTTTTAGGAGTTGTAATTAACATTTTGATAACTATCACCAAAAGTTTTAATACATTTTTTTGTATTTTAATTTTCTATAATTTATACTAACGTTTGTTTACTTGTTTTTGCTTAAAAATATAAGTATTTTTTTTTCCATTTCTTTTTATCGTTTAATTTTATTATTACCTCCCTTGAAAAGAACTCAATATTCGTTTTCTCCCTTAACAAAAAAGTTTCACGCACGAGAAAGACAGAATAAGCGGAACCCTTACATGGGTCCCCCCACACTCAACGACCTCACACTCATACAAGCACTACAGCCTTACAGCAGCCAAGAACCAATCATAACTACCATCCCTCACACCAGTAATCGCAACTTCTCCATACACACTGACAATCCAACAAACATCCCTCACTACATTCAAATAAACTACAAAAACAAATCCCTCAACATATTAATCGCCATCAATGGAAGAAAACAAGCCTGCCAGACCTGCTCATCCACCCTGCATTGGACCAGTCACTGTCCAAAATCCAATATACACATGACAGCACCACAGGAACCAGTCATGCATGCGCAGCAGCAAACAACAGAGCCCCCTAAGCCGACTTCAGATTCAACACCCAATGCACCCCCTGACAACATCAAAGGAACCAGCACCAACCACACCGCAGGCCTTAGAACCGACGGAAAACCAGACAACCCTAAACACGACTACAACAAACAGTCAACCAACCAGCCCCCACAAATCGCCTAGTAAGTCAACAACCTCCAGTACAAGCATGACGAAATCGCCAACCATCAAAACAACTGCACCAAAAGTCCTCATACCAAACTTTGCTGCATCATCCTCGCTGAGCCCGAACTCTTTCAAGTTTACAGCGACGCCAACCTCTACAATTAACAACCCCAGCCCAGATTAAAAAATGAGCGACGGCACAAACTCAAAAAGAAAAAAAGAACAAGGCCCTACAGACGCAAAGCAGTCAACAAAAAATCTAAAAACCCAAAAATCGGGTTATAACAGCAAAAGATGCAGATTTTGCACCCAGAAATACAAATCAATCGACGATAGGCAAGAACACGAGGTTTCAGCACACCAGGAACTCTTAATGTGTCACATATGCAACAACGAGTGTGGATACATGGACATATGCCAGCACTACAAAGAGTACCATCCCGACGAAACGACGTATACCTGCCACCATTGCAGAATATGCCTCCCCCTAAAGGGTATGAAAGTACACACAAAGAATCATCATCCATGAGTTAAATAGATCGCCCAACATAGTCTCAAATAAAAACTTAATTAACACTTAGTAACTTTAGACGTTTTGTATAAGGGAACTTAAATATATACGTTTTGTATTAGATACGTACTATAAATTGTATAATATGTATGTATATGCTCATGTAAACCTGCTCTTGCTGCCTACCCTTGCTCGAGTGGGAAAGCAGCAAGAGAGGAACAATATTAAACTCATAAAAAAAAAAAAAATGTATTTACTGAAAAATCTGTAAAGCTCAGACCACCCATGTCTTGTGAGAGATTGGTATAAAAACAAGATGGCCGAAACCAGACAGACAAGACTTTCACAAAACCTCAGCTGGCCTTCGCTCTGTCCTGAAGATAATACGGACACCACGCAAACAACCAACTGGCCTGTGTCAACACCCGTAACAGATACATATTCAAATGAAACTGTAAATGTTCTTCAAAGTGGGAGAAAAACCGGAGATGTGTCACAAAAGGAGAGACCCAACCCTGTACCTGTAAGTACACTCTTCAAAAAAATCATGCTTTCGGGGACCGCACCTGGGCGGCATCCCAAAAACACGCTATGTGTGTTGATTAAAGGAAAAAAAGAACGTCGAATCGACGAATTCATATTAGAGGACCGATTTACGTGTAAACTGAACGTAAACCGTTCTCAAATTCTTAATGTCTACAACTTGGGGAAACCAAGCGAATGGTTTATCTCTTTCGAATCAGAAGAAACTTACAACTCTCTACATTTGGAAATAAGATGTGAACATTCGGATTATTGCAGCAGCATTTTGCTGCTGCATGTGTACAAAAACGATCAGAGGGGTCACCCAAAATGGGTACCCCCTACCATTACCCAGAATATGATCAACAAAATTATGATTGAAATATCAGAACCAGACACAATAGTTTCAGCTCTTAAGATCGGGAAAAGTGATAAGTGGGCAGTCGATCTCTGCCCAAACGCTCCTTTAAAGGATTTACCCCATTACATTGATCTTGAGATCAGTGTGGAAACTTACACCTTGTTACTACAACATAACGGTAGGAGATCTATATGCCCCCTGTGTGGCACGACCAAACACGGACCGGATATCTGCCGAAACTCGTAAGTAAATGAACGATACAATATATCGATAGATAATGATGGGAACTATTTCGACAATGTTTAGTATTATAGCTCGAAAAGTGTACTCTTATTTTTGTAATTTAGCGCTTGTGAAAGCTCGTTAATATATAGGCTATAAAACATGCTTTTTCCCTACTATTTAGTCTTAGATGAAGAAATAACCAAAGCACCGTTATACAAATGACGCAATCCGTCACATTGTCACATGATCCGGAGGTCGATTAAACCACACCCTGAAGGACAACCCCCCCACGCCCACTAATCTAAACACCCCCATTCAACTTATTCACAGTAAACCCAATCACACGTAGATTTATTTATATACACAAAAACACTCAAATAACTTCCTTTGTCTACACTACAACACTATTTACTCATTTCTCCCACACCTAATTCTCCCACACAAAATTGTCCCGCACTAAATTATCCCACTCTAAACTCCCCCACTAAAAAAAATTCCCACTCTAAATTCTCCCACACTAAATTCTCCCACACTAAATTCCCCCACGCTAAATACCCACACACTAAATTCTCGCACACTAAATTCTCCCACACAAAATTTTACCACACTAAACTCTCACACACTAAAAATCTCGATACCAAAATAGTCTCTACCAAAATCACCCAAACATTCAATTCCCCCTCACTAGATTCCATCACACACTCCCCACCCCCCACCCAACATATAACTAAACGCTGACACAGAATATTAGTGTTAGTCCCGAGAGTGCACCAAGGTGTAACAGAGTTAACAGCGGTTTGCTCTAGTCTTTTGTTTGAGTCAAAATATCTCGCGCGTGGAACTTTTTTGTTAAGGGAAAAAACAAATATTGAGTTGTTTTCAAGGGAGGTAATTATGAAATTAAATGCTAAAATGAAACGGAAAATAATAGTAATATATTTTTAAGCAAAAACAGGTAAACAAACATTAGTATAAATTATAGAAAATTAAAATACAAAACAGTTATTTAAAACTTTTGGTGATTAATAAAAAAGTGTTAATTACAACTCCTAGTAATTCATAATTATTAATCGAATAATTAGAAGTTACTTATATCAATCAACTTTAACATTAATACCAAAAAAACTCTTTATGTATCGCATATTGGTATTTTAGATTTTTTAAAAATATTTTTATCTTCGTGAAGCTTGTTATATAATTCTTTGTAATCCTCGATTACACACAAACATACATACATCTCACCTCACTTTCACAAATGTCATCCTCCAAGACTACATTTGTAAAAATTGTTACCGCCAGCAAAGAGGTTGCGCCCCAGGATGTTCCCCCTAGGTCAGGGGTCGGCAACCTGCGGCTCGCGAGCCGCATGCGGCTCTTTTGATATCAAGATGCGGCTCTCCAGCTCCTTGCACAAATACTAATAATCTTAATAAAAAAATAAAATAAAAAATGTTAATGGCTCTTTAAAATCAGGGAAATTTTGAAAAATGTAAGTCCTGGCTCTTCAGTTTCAAAAGGTTGCCGACCCCTGCCCTAGGTAGAGAGACCGGAGGAGGAGCCACCCGGACAACGGTTCGGGTGGCTTAATGAAATCACGGGCTCAATCCCTTTCAGATACATCGAAGTCAACGGATCAATCAACAACCCTCACAATT